TAAAAAACACATTATGTGTTACATCATTAGATTCATCTCATCGAGTACAACAACTTTTGTTACAAGAAAATTTTTGATCCTATATAAAAAAAATGAACTTATGCTTGTAGCATAAAAACATGAAGACTTAAATGCTCAAAACATATCTCATTATTTTTCCCACTTGGAGCCCTACAACTTCTATTTGACAGATTTTTCGATTACTACCCACATTCAATAGTTATTTGGGTGTACAATTTTATCTCGGACACCCTGTATAACGCCACCTTCAATTTCCAATTCTAGATTTTCTGCTGAATATTTTTGCTTCCGAATGGAAGCTTTGTAATCGACCGAATTTTGCTTCCGAATGGAAGCTTTGTAATCGACCGAATTTAAGATTCCCATTTTTTGTCATATGTCAACTTAATATGACCCAAGGAATTCATAAAAGCAATTTTTCGACCCTGTCCGAAGGCATGTATGTATGTGTGTGTGTATGTGCTATTTTTATTTCATTTATTTTCATTGATTGCTCACCCGCCTCTCTAGCCAATTGCATCTTTTTCTATTCAAATATAGGTCTCATTGAGCCCTGTCTATCGCCATCAATTGAAATCGATTTTATTCAACCGTTTTTATAATTTTTACATTTTTCGAAAATTCGGTTTTTTCACGATAGGTCACAAAAAAATTATCTGAAACCATTAAATCACCACTTAAAAAATGTGTCCTGATCTGCACTTGACCGAGTTCGAAGATGAAGGTCACAGCAATAATCATTCTTTTAATCTCTGCCAAATTACTTTTTTTTTTGAAGAATACTAGGGCTATATCAAAGCACGCGCGTCCCGCGCGCGCTATTGGTAACGATTCCTAGAGATGTAGTTATCTCATATAACCTTTTTTTTTCAATTTATAATTGATTTGAATTTAAAATATCCTGTCAAGGCAAGCATATGTTATATGATTTTTAAGTTTATTATATTCGCTTTCAAATGGTTCGTGTTTCATCCTCGTATCTTGATCCGCATTCAAGTTATAATTTTCCGAATATCGCAACAGAGTCACATCTTTTGTTATGTTTCACGCTCAATCGTATAATAGACATAAAAGACCGGCAAGGATTCGGAATTGCAGGTTCGAACATAATACCATATTTATCACAGAAATTCAATTTTCTATTTGTAAAGATTTTCCATTGTAATTTTCTTTTAAGGAAGAATTACAATGGAACATCAATATGCATCACTTCAAATTGTTTATTCAAAGTTGTAGGCTATGATTTTTATGATTTTTTTTTCCCCACACCACAAAATTAAGATAATGGTAGTCGGTATGTGTGGAATCCGAATTGAAATTCATTATTCATAATGCTGGGATTCGTTATTTTGGAGAGGTAAGCAAATTCTATATTTCCTTGTTAATTAACTTGAGCACATGAAAAAAAACGTCGATAAGAAGTGAGCGAAAATGAAACCATTTTTTTATATTTGAATGCTCATAATTTAAAAGTCAAGTAAAACGATAAAATGATATTACATATATGCAATATATCGTCGGATGAGCAGTTGAAAATAGGACCTAAATAAAAATTCCAGAGCGTTACAGGACATACTATTTCATGTTTAAATGTTCGGGAATCAAAGCATAGACCAAACCGCGAACTAAAAGTAGTCTTATATGATAGGGCATTCTCCTAGCATTCAAATCATGGTAGATACCCATAATGTATCATTAGCTGAGATTCTGAAAATACCCTCAAAAGAAAATGTGCGAGCGTAACGTGTCATGACATTTCATGTCCATTTTAATGTTTAAAACGCTATAACTTCCGTACGGGTTAACATACGAAACTTGAGGTAAAAAAAACAAAGGCAAGAGAACATTTCGAATGAGACGCTGAAGAATAGTTCTCTCTTCGTCATCCTTATAGGAGAAAAATATGATGATTACCTTCTTCTCTCTCATTAAAATAGATTTCAGAGATATGAATGCGCTGCCCTAAGTTAGTAATTTTGGATTAATGCTGAATCTATTATAGCCGAGTATATCGGTAACAAATTCCTTTCTTATATTGAAGAGCACATGAATTTCAAAATAAGTGGGTTTGTTAAATTAATAATTAGACGTAGCATTGATAGAACAAATTGTCAAGATTGGCAAAAAAAAAACTAACATTATAAAAGAGAAATGCTAATTTCAGACGAGAGGGTTGAAGGAAAGAAAAGAATGGATACCGATGGAATGCAAATGGAAAATTAGAGGTTTCAGAGATTCGTTATATTATTCCCTCCTCTGAAAAAAGATGGCCGTCTCGACAATCGAATAAACTTGTTGTTATGAGCAACTGCAATATCAGTTTCAAGGAAAAATTAAGATTTGAGTTACCTGGGGCCCATAACCCATGTTCTCTTTGAAAACCCAGACGGAAAATAAAAAAGAGAATAGGACTAGATTCGAATGAAATTGTCAGAGTCGGGAGCTTGGATGAAGTTGAGGTTTTTGTCGGGGGCGTGCGGCAGGTGGGGTCAGTTTTGGAAGATCTTGATCAGATAAATCTGAAAAAAGGAAAAGGAGTTTATGGAAATGAAAACAAAAATTCACTGAAAGAATCAATGAGAATTGAGAAATTATGCGTAATCACTATTCTATTTCGCGCCTCTTCCTCAGATCACTAGTAGTACCCTTATTCCTACAGATAGTGCCACAAATTAAAAGTCCCACCAAAAAATTTTCTTCCCATGTGTGCGCCACACTGGTCGCGCGGTACTACGTCATTCCTTTTTCTTGTGCAGAAGTGTTAACAAGTTAAATTTATTTGCTCGATTAAATATGGGAAAAAGACGTCACAGTCCGAATTCAGACGATGAAAATCATTGGAAAAAACGTATTCGTCGGCTCGAAAGAGAATTAAAAAAGAAAAAACATTCTCGTAAACATCACAAGCGTCGTAAGTATTGCGTAGAATTGCTTCTCTGTTCTAGGTTAGAGACGGCATAGTAAGTGGAAAACGTGGTGACTGGAGAAGCTTCTACTCCCCACAATGCACCTGGGCCACCTCTTTTTTCTTTTTGACACGAATTAAAAAAAAAAAAAAAACAAACAAACAGAGGGACAAGAGTCTCTGATTCTCAGATCGATTTGAGAATAACTCGGACACGAGTCCTTGAGTTTTCCTGTTTGGATTCGCTAAAAATCACTCTTGGACAAGAGTCCATGGTTTGATTGGGGCCGAAAATCACTCCTGGACAAGAGTCCATGGGTTGATGATGCCCTTGATGACATTATTTCCATTGAATTCCAGGTGGGAGATCCTCCAGTTCCAGCAGTTCATCGGATTCAGGATCTTACAGCTCGTCATCTTCAAGTGTTGCTTCAGAGAACTCTCGTCGATCCAGAAGTCGACATCGATCAAGAAGAAACGACAGGACCCACTCGCGAGACAATAGTAGACGTCGGTCTAGGGACCCCAGCCTTCCCAAAGATGGGATTGGGAATCAGCCTGAACCTAACCCCCCTGTCTCTTCTCCAAAGGTGAACGAAGTCCCAGTGTCTGTGGCGGGTAACGATCCCTCACAAACTGCGAGTGTTTCTAAGCCTGAAGAGGTTAATCCACTTGACCCTGAGATTTCTGAATTGCTGGGGAAGCGTTTGGATCCTGATAATCCTTTGGGACCAGCTATCAATGACAACATTGCAGTCCGTTGGAAGGAAATTCTTTCCAAAGGCTTGCCTAAAGACGAGTAAAAGGAAATTATCAAAAAATATTCCACACCGGAGAATTGTAAAGAACTCAATGCTCCTCGACTTAATGTGGAAATCAAGGCCTCACTGCCTGAGGGGGCAATAGGTAGAGACACTAGAATGGTCACCAAACAGACTAAACTGTCGATTTGTCTATCAGCCCTTGGCCAAGCCTTGAACTCCTTGGTGATTCTTAAGAAAGATGAACCTATTGACCCTGAAGCGAAGAAGTCTTGTGTGGGTCTAATTAGTGATGCATCTAGGTTGATTCTTGAAGTGCATAGAGAGGAATCTCAGACTAGAAGAGCCCTAATCGCCCTAAGACGCACTTAATGAAGTGAAATTCGGGGAGTTACTATTTGATAAGGAGCTAGATGGCATCATCAAAACCTCCAAGTGTCTTGAAAAGACCAGTAATGATCTGAAGAAACCTGGAAAAACGCTGAATGACGAGTTCTCAAAAAACGCCAAACGCCCGCTCTATCCCCCAGGAAAGAAGCAGCAGAGGTCGAGCGGGCACACGAACTCTCGACTTCGGGAGAAGAACACCCCCCAGAAGCCTCGGACTCGAGGTTACACCTCCAGGAAGGAATCATATCACCGAGGGAGGAAATAAATGATGTAAGTAATTATGCAGGTAGATTGAAACAATTCTCTGAGGCCTGGTCTTCCATATCGGAAGATGAAACAATCAGAGATTGGATCTCTGGTTACAACATTCCTCTTAATTCACAACCACAACAGTTTTCACTCCCTGAGGAGCGATCCTGGTCCCCACATGAACTTGCAGAGATACAAGAGTTACTGTTGCAGTTACAAGAGAAGGGAGCAGTCAAAACATGCGAACCATCGCGAAACCAATTTATCTCTAGTATTTTTCTTGCACCTAAGCCTGATGGATCCTCTCGCCTCATCTTAAACTTGAAGAGTTTCAATAAATTCATCACCACCGAACACTTCAAGTTAGAGGACTTACGTACTGCTAGAGATCTAATGTCCCCAGATTGCTACATGGCAACGCTCGATCTTAAGGATGCCTATTATATGATTTCCATCCATGAGAATGACCGTAAATATCTCAGATTTAGGTTTCAAGGGGTCCTTTATGAATTTACATGTCTTCCTTTTGGACTCAATACTGCTCCATATGTATTCACGAAGATCATGAAACCAGTGGTATCTCAATTGAGAACACAGGGTGTTCAATTAGTAATATATCTCGACGACATTTTCCTCGTTGCAGAATCATTTCACAGTTGTGAAATGTTTGTCAATAAAACCCTTGACTTACTAATCAAGTTGGGTTTCTTAGTTAATTATAAAAAGAGCTCACTTGTTCCAGATAAACAATGTAGATTCTTGGGGTTCATTCTCAATTCCGAAAGAATGGTAGTTTCTTTACCTGTTAATAAGAAAAGAGAAGCCAGAGAGTTGATCACAAAATTTCAATCTCGGGATTCTTGTCGAATTCGCGAACTATCTTCTTTCATAGGAACCTTAGGATCCTATTGTCATGCTTTTCGGTATTGTTGGGTTCACCTCAAAGATTTGGAGAGGGAAAAGTTCCTGGCGTTAGAAAAGTTGAATAATAATTTTGAGGCTAGGATGCAGCTACCGGACAAGTTAAATGAAGACCTCAACTGGTGGCTACATAATCTAGATTCTTGTGGTAACCCTATTAATGATTTTATTTACGAGTTGGAGATTCACTCGGACGCATCTGGCTCAGGCTGGGGTGCTTTTGCAGAAAGGGAGAGGGCACACGGGTTCTGGAGCCTTGAAGATCAACGTCATCATATAAATTACTTAGAATTACTCTCAGCATTTTTTGGCCTGAAGTGTTTTGCGAGACATCTTCAGAATTGTAATGTCCTTCTACGCATTGACAATACCACTGCTATTTCTTATGTTAATCGTATGGGGGGTATCCAGATCTTAGACCTCAGCAAGTTAGCGAAGAAGATCTGGCAGTGGTGCGAGAGCCGTAATCTCTGGATCTTCGCATCATACATCAGCTCGGCTGATAACAGCATTGCTGATTATGAGTCAAGACGGTTAGAACCAGAAACAGAATTCAGTCTTGCTCCTTATGCTTTCGACGAAATTTGTCGAACCCTCGGCTATCCTCAAATAGATTTATTCGCGTCAAGGTCTAATAAAAAATGTAAGAGATTTGTGTCATGGCAAAAGGACCCCGAGTCGGTAGATGCCTTCACCATAAATTGGGCTCCCCTCTTCTTTCATGCCTTTCCACCATTTTCAATCATATTGAGAGTTCTTAAAAAGATAAGAATTGATAAAGCTAGAGGCATTTTGTGGTCCCTCTATGGCAAGCTCAAGCTTGGTTCCCTCTGTTTAAGAGAATGTTGGAATCAGATCCAATCATCTTTCAACCCAGCATTAACCTGATTAACTCTTCGAACAGGGAACCCCACCCACTCCAGAAACAACTTTCCCTGGTGGCAGGAATTTTGTCAGGAAGGCAATTGAGATGAGAGGAGCACCACCAGAATCTTCTGAACTCTCCTTGGACTCCATCAGGTTGTCATCATGGAAACAATATGAATCACCCCTCAAGAAATGGTGGCAATTTTGTCTCCCTAATCAGTGGGATGCTTACATCCTAAACACGGCTCATATCCTCTCCTTTTTGACTGAACAATTTCATAAGGGAGCCTCCCAAGGAACAATAAATTGTTACCGATCAGCATTATCTCTTCTTCTGGGACCAGAAGTAGGCTCAGATCCTGGCATAAAACGGTTCTGCAAAGGTGTAAGTAACAAGGGACCTTCGAAACCCAAATACAATGATACCTGGGACCCAAAGGTAGTGTTAGATCTTTTGGAGACGTGGCCCTCCAATGAGGCTCTCGGCTTAAAACAATTGACCTTGAAGCTGACCATTCTCCTGGCCTTGACGACATCACACCGTATGCAGACCTTCTCAGTGATTGATATCAGGAACATAAGAGTATTAGCTGATCATATCGAGATTAAAATACCTGCGATGATCAAAACTTCTAATTCTGGAACTGTTAAAAATAAAAAACAACCAACTCTCATCCTGCCCTTCTTCTCTCAGAACAAAAGAATCTGCGTAGCCACAACTCTTCAGGATTACCTCCAAGCTACTCAGGAACTTCGACTCAACACTCATAATCTTCTGATTTCATTCCAAAAACCTCACAATAAAGTTACAGCACAGACAATTGGTAGGTGGATTAAAGACATTCTCAAGGAATGTGGCATCGATACAGGAGTATTCACAGCATACTCTACTAGGCATGCCTCAACATCAGCAGCAAAGAGAAGTGGTATCAGCGTTGACCTAATCAAACAGACTGCTGGATGGACACAAAAATCCAAGGTGTTTGCTGATTTTTATCACCTGGATTTAGTAAAAGATAAAACTGAATATGCTAAGACTCTCCTGTTGAATAAAACTTGAGCACCTCAACTTATATTAATCGTTTTCTACTACTGTATGCATAAGCATCAGACAATAAATATACTTTATGCCGTAATTAGTAGCTTTCAACATCTACTAGTGATCTGAGGAAGAGGCGCGAAATAGAATTTATTAATTAAACGAACTTACCTAAGTGAAGTTCTATCATAATTCTATGAAGCGCCTCTTCCGAAAGATCAGTCCCACCCAGTCCCTTTATCTCTCATTTCCCTTCGAGCCCCTTCCATTACGGCATGACTTTAAAGAAATGACGTAGTACCGCGCAACCAGTGTGGCGCACACATGGGAAGAAAATTTTTTGGTGGGACTTTTAATTTGTGGCACTATCTGTAGGAATAAGGGTACTACTAGTGATCTGAGGAAGAGGCGCTTCATAGAATTATGATAGAACTTCACTTAGGTAAGTTCGTTTAATCAATAAATTTCAAGAGTCTTTCCCGGAAAAATAAAAAAAAATAATAATAATTAATTAATCGATTGTGAAACATTGACAGACATAGATCACAGAATAATGATCTAATATGTAAAATGAAAGGGATGAGGCTCCAATTTTGATAGAAATTTGATGGATTTGCCATACTATAAATGTGGATTGCTTTTGGTTTAAAATGTGGAGATCTTTAAATGTGATATTGAATAACCATTCGGAAGCATATTGCTAATTTATTAGCAAAGACAACTATATGATATGCGATATAAGATCAATTCTCCACTTGTTTACATGTATTTACATTGAATATATTCAATTGCACAATAAGTATATCACAAGTTGAATGTATTCTCGTCTTTCGAGTGAACTTAACATACTCGTTACAATGAATACAAAATTGAATAGTCTCTTTCCACTCATCGAAAGGTTGTTTAATTAAATTGTAAAAATCAATGGTATTTTTCAAATCACTCAACGAGAGGGTAACCTTAAAATTACCTTCGTTGGAAGTATTCCCTACGGGGACTACGGGACTACTTCGGGACTACTTGGCAGCTATTCAAGTGGCCATCATTATGGTCTGAGAAGCGTTAAGGAATGACCATCAAGGGGACAATACCTGGAAACCACGAATCATCTAAAAAGGAGCCACACAATTACTCAAAGGCACGACTAAAGAGATCCTTTTCACTTCTTTTCTTTCCTCCATTGACTCTGGGTGCCAATAACTTAAACAACCCTTTAATGGTAACCGCAGATGGGAGCTGCCCCAAAGAATTAAAAATGTGGGCAACTTTGGAATGGACCCTCTCAACCACGGATTCGCCGATATCGACAAAAGAAAAGGCAGACGAATAGGGGTACATCTGCCCTAAGTGCCTGCATCCACTGGTTACAGGGGGTTGGCCGGGACCACGACATTACCTGCACCACATATCCAACGAAAGTCATGAAGTGGTTCCCAGAAATTGGCACAATTCACCAGATGATTTCTTATTGTCCAAACAAAGGGGCATCTCCTACTTCAACGAGTCCGTCAGTTATCCATCGTCAAAGGAGGTGTAAAATTTATGGGCCATGAACGTGAGAAGAATGCGTATACATGCCACTTTTGACATTAGAAGAACATTAATTAAAGAGAGGCCAATGCGCGCTCGTCCCGTCTTTTTCTCAAAAAGTTCTCCCACACCGGGCGAAATGGGGGGTAACGCCAGGGTGAGGGTACATTTCCCAGAAACATCCCTTTTGAATACATTGTTAAACATATGAAGATGCCTTCCACCATACCTCAAAAAAACATTGGATGACGAAATATCAAAATGCCAACGGTCGTAGGGGAATCAGACCTGAATAATATGTAAACAGCGGTTTTTCTTTAAATAAAGTCAGCCTAAATTAAATCCCCGACTCGAAATCTTCAAGTGATACCCTGCTCGTCATCCACTTCACCCTTCAAGACCCAAGGGAGGAACTGTCCAGGACCAACCTCTGACGTCACCAGTGAGCATAGTCCGAGCGTACAGCTCGACTCTCCTCGCAACCATAGATTGAGTGCGCAAATTTAATTACAACCAACGGGTCCAAAGTAAAATTTCCACTCTTGATTCTTAACGAGGAGCCCTGCTCACTATTAAAGCTGACCCGTCGAGGCCCGTCTGTTGGGAAGCACCTCTGCAGTATCGCCTACTCTCATCGCTTCGAGTTCGACTGGACAACTCGATTTTCTGCGCTGCGTCAGATCGACTGCATTGCTTCAAGCCAGCACCCATCTGGTACATCGCTCAGCGTACAATTGAGCTCATCTTGAGTACACAGCTCAGAGAATCTTCTCGTCAAGCCAGCACCGACCTGGTAAATCTCTCAGCAGACAACTGAGTTCATCCCGAGCGTTCAGCCGAGGATATTTCTTCAAGCCAGAACCCACCTGGTAAATTACTCAGCCTACAACTGAGTTTACCCCAAGTGTGCAGCTCCGGGATTTTTCTACGCCCAGCAACATAGAGCTAGAGAACAACCTAGTTTTGCCTGAGTGGACAACTCAGGCGTATCCACACCACCAATACCTCCTGGGTCATCACATCATCATTACCAACGCTAAAGAAGCGTGTTAGAGCGTTTTGAACTACATCAGTCCGAGAGGATCTAGCATACTTTTGGAGTTCTCCGGAATCCACTGCAAAGGAGAAACATCAAGAGATTGCTCCTTTCCTCCTGCCGTTTATTAGAAATAACCGTGAGTCAGAAAAGCACATCAACAACATTTACCCTATTCTCTCCTACACTTTCCCCATCTCCACCTCTGGTTTTTATCTTGGACTTTTACTATTCTGTATCTCAAGTGGAGTGGAATAAATTAAAAATATATTTCAAGAGAAGCTTAAGGGTATTTTTCATTTTGTATGCTAATTCTTCATATGATAACCATTGTGCACCTCAGTGCTTAGTCACTAAGTGAGATTTATAAGATCCTTCCTCCTCCGAACACTACCTGTCGTGACTAGTTACGGTCAACTCACCAGAAGGGTTCACTTTTTATTCGATATTTCGACCTAACTAGTGACCCAGTGTTCGCTACAATTATTATAACGTATATATTTTGGAAGCAAAAAAATCGAATGACATTGATGATTTTGTTCCATATACCACTGTAAGCATTTAATGTACCGAGCAAATTTGTCCACGCCCATGAATTTTTATAAAAATATGATCATTCTATCCCCTCTTATTGAAAACCAACATGAAAAATTTTCCGGGGGGGGGGGGCAAGGTGGATATTTAATTGGTGACCCTCACAAATTCTGAAATTATATACGTGGAAGGCCTAGGAGGGGGGTAGATCATGTGGTCCTAGTCCGTCATTATCAGACATTGCCAGACCCGCAACGGTTATTTTAATTTTTCATTTGAAATTCATAGGTAAACGAGAAAGTGAGTGAATCATAGATAACTTTTGGAATATTCAAGAGGTCGGGTTGAAAACCATGAAATGTGGCCGTACTCGAGATAACTAAACTCGATATTATTTTCTATTATAGTCTAAAACTTATTGATAAATTTCGTTCTTGAATTTAATTTCTAGATCGCAGGTTAAGATCGGAAAAAATTTAGGCATCAAACAAATGGATTCAAGATGTAGGCTTGTGTATTAAGGTACTTCCCGAGTTATTATATGGCAGTAAAATGAAATATGTTATGGACTCGAAACTTTGAGGATTTCTTCGATTGGTGATTGAAAATATTCCTCGGAAGTCCCAAAACCACTGACCTCGTGAACTATTGGCAAACAAATATTTAGAATTTATATCGATAAGGCAGAGTTTCATGGAACTCCTTTTTCAAAAATCAATTAACAATATTTGATAATAATAAAAAAATCCCACTGCATCTAACAGACATGCGTAGTTATCAGATCTTTCATAGAATTTTTAATTTGTTAATAAATTCCTACAAACAATATTTAGAAAATAAAGTGATTTTCGATTAATTCTTCACAACAAATAGGTAAAAAGTAATCCTTTCAACAGAATTTTCCTTCTTCCATAAACTTTCTGACATTTAATTTTTTCCCTAACGATGCAGCAGAGTGTGAGATCTTTTAACGCCCACCTTCATTATACAGGATGTCCCATTGGAAACAATCCACCCGAATATCTCATGAGGAGGGAAAGTGACAGGAAATGTTTCGGGACATCAGTTGCAGGGTTTCGAGAAGGATACTTGATGCGTACATTTTTTTAGCTTTCAAAGCCATGCTTGTAAGCTGCAATCATAAGGTTCTTTTTTATAATGGCATTCCATTTTTCTTCCCAATAAAACTTGCTCGCCTTGACAATTTGTTTTCACATGCTTCAAGATTGATGTCCATGCGGTCGATCTCACTGGAAAAATGCGACGAAAATGAGTTCTGGTATCAAACTGAAAATTCACACACCTTTAATGTTCGTTTGCGTAGATGATTGTTCCGCTAACCTCATCACCAACCGTACTCAGGACTGTAAATAATAACAAAGAATTACCTATCCGCTGGGAGATATTATTCCTCGAAACAATTTCAATTCTACCAGAATCCAGTTAGTATCACCTTTAATTTCATTAGACACATTATGATATATTCAGCGAGTAAGATTGTGGACATTTTACTCGTGTTGGGAAACAGCCAAGCATTCTATCGAGCTGCTGCCAGAATATATTGAGAACGATATCCTCATTGCCGATGTCATGCCACACACGCAGTCATTCGCAATTCGCAATTAGCAACATTGAACGAAATTCTGAGAGAGAACGCAACTATTGACAACGACAACCACAACAACAAAGAGTTCATCCTGATGATCCTGGAGTTGTTGCCATTTTCGCTCCCATTCACATAAATTTTCTACAAGATTCACACATCAGCTGGAAAGAAATTGAACGAGATTTAGGCCTCCGATCTGGTCGCTAGCATTATATAACGTTGACTCAAGCTTTGCGCACGCAAGACAAACGGAATGATGTTTACTTCTGTAATTGGGCCTTGCAAGGACTGGATGAAGATCCAAATTTTTCCCAGTACGTTCTCTTCAGTGACGAGACAACGTTCCAGAGTACTGCTTATTGAATCGACATAATTGTCATTATTGGTCTAGAGAAAATCCTTACTGGACTCACGACATTGATCATCAGCATTATTGGAAAGGGAACGTGTGGTGATCGAACCATAATTTTTTGATAGTAAAGCCATTGGCCAGAATTACTTGGAATTCTTATATAATGAGTTACCAACACTGGTGGAGAACGTGAACTTGCAGACGAGACAGAGAATGTGATTTCAACAGGATGGCGCTCGACCTCATTTCGCTCGAACTGTTGCCTTCTCGAATCATTTGATTGCTAGGGGTCTTCCCACTCCATGGCCTCCATGATCACCGGATCTTACTTCACTTGATTACTACCTGCCTACGAGGCCTCGGCAAAGACGTTCTTTACATGAATTGACCGCCCACTCCGGCACATTTACAGGGACGTATCAGAGAGGCTATTGCGAGCAGTACGCCCCAAGTTCTGCGAAGGGTTGTTGGAAGTTTTCACTGTAGCATTAAGATGTGCTTGCAAGTCAACGGTGGCAACATCAAACAACTTATAAACTTATGAGCGCGTGAACCTTCACACGTTGGCGCGCTTTTTTTCTTCTTTTTTTCGCGCAGAAGATGCGAGTATACTTCCGTGTGGTGCATCCTGAGTCACACTCAGAAAGTCTGAATCTTCAGGTAGATTTTAGAACTCATGTTCGTCGCAGTGTCCGAAGAAAAACAAATTGACGTGAACGAGGAGGTATCTGAAAAAAACTCATCAATGCGAACAACTTTCATCGGGATAAAAAATATGTGTGACTTTTTCTAAAAAGCTCTTTATGCCTGTAGGTTGCAAGCATGACCTTAAAAGCTGAGAAAAATGGATGCATCAAATGTCGCCGTCGGAAGTTTACCACTGATGAAACTCAATATGTTTATGTTTTTAATTTAATTTGACCAACGTCAAGTTGAATTTTACTCTTCTACTTATCGATGCTACTAGTTTCGAATATCGAAAGGGAAATGTATGGGCGAGGAAGGTTTGATGGATTAGAGATAATGAAAAGATTCCGATCAAATTTTATATTCAAAAGTATTCGTTATATTCTTCAGTCCCAGAGGAGTTTAAATTGGGAGTTTGAATAGAGAGATATTGAAGGACATAGATTTTTATGTGATGTTAAATATGCCAGAGTCCAATATTGCAATGTATTGCAGATTTTATGTGAACCGTTACGACTATCAGAGAAACTGGTGTTCCCGTTTAGGCATCCACTAGACAGCGAATAATAATTTCAAGAAAAAAAATTACAAATCGAAATATCAGCAAAATCTTATATAAATGAGGAATCATATTTTATACATCAGCGTGCAGTAGCCTTCACACCACTTACTGTATATTAAAATGTATAATGCCGTACAACCCTATCGATGAAAAATTACGCCAATACAACGTTCCTATTTGAGAATTGAAAATAATTAATCAATAACTCACCAGAAGGCTGTCAGCACTCAACGCTAATTTTCGAAAAATGATTCAAACTATCGCCGTCAGGTACATAATCTTTTGATATTTATTGTTTTTCTTATTTTTGGCAATTAAAGTGGTATTCGACCAATTATCATCCTTATAACGCTGAATTATTTTAACTATTCAAACCTTATAGAATCAACAGTCAACTTTTATTTGCGTGCATATATGACCATTCAAGAGTATATCAATATTGGAGAAAAACTTACCATCTCAGTTCTTGGATAAAGAGAGTTCACATAGAGAGCATTCCTCCACCAGAACTTTTCACATGTTAAATGGTCAATGATGGCTGGAGAAAACACTGTACGTGCTTGAGTATACTTGATTGTTACTTCATTCATACCCAAGACAAACAGATAGGCTGGTGTTAATCTGATATTTTCAATAAGAAAAGTTCACATTAAAGTTCTGTGTGGCGATGATTCATGTTCTGCAATATTTCTGGGATCTCTCGATTCAGAATTAGCAATATTATAACACTTCCCAAAGTCGAAAGCTCAAAATCCATTGCGGAAAAATATCAATCGGGCTGTTGTGACAAGATTTTTTTACTCGTGTGGTGGCCCAGTTCTTGATTTTCGACCCAACGCCGATCCCACATGAATAAAAAAATTAATCATAATGGCTTTGGAACATACTCTTTCGTTTGAAGAGGTGTTATATGCGGCCATCATAATTGATACCAATGGCGATACTCACCGGATAAATCGGTAGATGAGCATAATCATGAATTTCTTGCAGCTAAGTTTCAAGAAGTTCTTTTCGACTATTTCATCGGGCCCTGTTGAACGGTAGAAGAGAATTGTCACTAGGAGCCCACTGAAATAAATGACAGGAAATCGAATTGAATACAATATTGATTGACAAAGATACAATTAAAAAGTGTGCCATATCGGAATAAAATGAGCTTAAGCGAATTATTTAAAAACAACATACGAATTAAAATTAAAAAACAAAGGTGAACGCAGTTAAAATCAGTTTTTGTAGTTCTTGAACTCCTTACGCCACCTCCAAATTTTCGATTCTCCGAGCAATGATACGAATGCTAATGCCGGGACTAATGCCATGGGTGACGAGTATCATGCGATTCTCATCTCGCTTGGCTCAGTAAAATTGCGGATTCAGGGTCCAATGACATAAAATACTACATGAAACTTGTGCGATAAGGTGTTTTCGCTTCCAAATGGAAACATTGCAATTGTTGCATTTTTCAATTTTCTAATCTTAAGTACGTAAAAATACGAAGTTTGAAGGCCATGAGTGAATGTGCAGATGGTTAACTGAGGGTCAATTTTTACAGAAGAAGAAGAATAAGTGAGTACATTAATTCCTAAAAATCTGAAATTTTATCACTCTACAGGTCCTAATACCAATTTGATCTGTGCGAGATGTCAGCCCGATTGGTTGAATACTTTTTGAAATATCGGTGATTGTTTCTGAAGAGTCTTGTGCAAATATCTCAGAAACTGTCCAACCCTTTACATTTTTCATTGTCTTGAAACATCCGTCTCAATACACCCTACACGGAGTGAAAGATCTATGAATTTTTATATTGTGATTTCGATAAAAATTACTGTGCTGCCTTACAATTTAGGTGTAAACTGCAGGCCTGAGAAAAATTACTATGCCATGCAGTAAAATTTCTTCATCGGCCGAGCAAAACTTCGTTATCGGCCAAATAAAAATTCATAGTCGTCGCAAGAGTTACCATTGTTAAATTCAACTTCGGCAAGAATCGGAAACATTCGACGTTCATCGCCAACCAATCATATTGGGTTAAAATATGTTTGGAGAAAATGCTGTGTAGCACAGTAAAAATTAAAAGAGAGCACAATAAAAAATACGGATCTGGATAGGAATTTTTGAAGGATTTCTATCAATTTTTCATTCAAACTCAAACAAAAAATGATAGACCTTCAAATTTTATAGTGCTGTTTAGTAAATTTTATGGAGCCAAACATGATTAATTACGGAATATAAGAAAATTTGACATATTGATAGTAATTTTTATTTGTGAATCAAAGAAGGTCTAGTATTCTAGCATTTTGCACCACGATTGTAGTGCTCGGCACAGTAAATCTTCTTGGACTTTTCTCTCCGTGTATACTAATGAGTCAGAATATATGCATATGATCTCACAAAGTTTTCAAGATATTTCAATTCTTATGTTTTCTGATTCTGATTTTTAAAAATATATCTATCAACTTCAAATTTAGCAAACAGATTCCCTTATGACTGCGATGGTCGGTATTGCACCTGGGCTCGATCGGATGATTTGTTCAGGAGATATTCAACTCTGTGTCAGAATAGTATATTACGCACGCGTTTCATACAAAATTTTATGTCATCGCGCCCAGAATCCGCGATTTAACCGAGCGAAGCGAGGTTAGAATTGCGCGATTACGGGCACCGATGGCATAAACGATTTTCTCAAATATCTCAAAAACGACTCAACTGATTCCATTTCGCTTTGTTTTCAAAATATTCGTTACACTGTCCTCTATTCAGATGAATTGGAGAGATGCACGCGTTCAAAGAAAAGTATGCAGAAATTTTCATTTCCATGTTTTTCGGAAACATCCGTGCTACGCTCTCTCTGATTTTTTAAAATCAACCCATCAACTTCAAATTTGATAGAAAGATTCCTCTTAGAACCATACTGTTTGGTATTCACGTACGGAGCTAATTTTTTATTATTGCTGCTTTTTGGAAGAATTATATTTTATATTATATTTTATTGTCCATATCGTCGTCTTATCAATTATCGATTTTTCCGTTATTTGCGACGATCACAATCTTGTTGTCAAGAACGCTTTCCTTTGCAGTTTCAACCACTGATTTTTGGTGGCCTGTGAATATCTAGTAATTCATATTGTAGAATTCTTTCTAATATTTTTTAACGTCCAGACTGGAGTTGTAGCGTTTAACGACCCTCGAGTTTCGGTATATAGCTTTCTGTTATCAGACCAAAATTTCTCAGGATGAAAGACGCTATAACCAAAATTTGTGTAGTTAACAGTTTCTGCAATTAAAAATATATTGAAGCAGGAAATAATGCATGTGAACATTTCATCCGCAGCGAAATTTTTGTTTGAATTTCAATGATGGAGCTCTTCTTTTTTTGTTGATACTAGCGTATATGGCGCGCTATGCGCGCCAAATCGTCCACGTATGGGGTATTATCATTGGAATGTATATATATATATATTCACGGTTATTTCCAATATAATATATACATATATAGAATTTCACAAAGAAGAAAGAAAAAAGTCTAAAAATTTATATAAAAAATAATTTAAAATTTAATATTAAAATAAAAATATTAAATAGTATTATATAAAAAAAAAATTAATATGTATAAAATTAATATAATTTATATATATATATATTATTATATATATAATATATTATATTTATATATATTATATATATTATTTATACATATACATATATTATATCTATATATATATCATATTATATAGATATATTTTGATATGCATAGCGCCCAAAAAAGCTGACAAAAAACGTTTCATGCTTTTTTTTAAAAGGGATTAATAATATTTAAATAGGAGGCGGATTAATGGTACATGAACATCGATATTTATGAGAAACACAGAATTATCGAAAGTACAACTACATTTTCATGTAGCTAAAAAATCGTCAAAGAGCTTTATCAACATTTTCCCGTTATTTATGATATTTATGTTCATAATAGAATAGGCCAGAAACGAATAGTCCATTAAATCATGTATTGATGATAAATAAGAATACATCAATTTTTTAAGTCACGTCGATTCCTCTTAAACCCAATAGCTATGGACTATTTTTTTCATAAGACTGTGTCATTACTGATTTTCAATTTTTATATTTGTTTCTCAACAACTGAAATAGTCTAAGGTCAATGAATGTACACGTTTAGAGAAAGCATGAGTATAGAAAAGTGGTTTTTGTGCGTTAAGTCTTTCAAATATCCATGAAATGTGTAGTAGTATGAAAACTATACAATGAAAGTAGTTTAAAATCAGTGTTGGGTAATGCACATTTCTCAAAATCCAAGGTTTTATAAAGTAACAATATTTGCCACGCTCGTAAAGAAGTGCACGATGTTTGTGACGTGAAATTGTTAAATAAATCTGTTCAGATAAGTGTCGCAATCTTTGTATAATTTTTTGATTTTGTGGTAGGGGGCTCGCATCACTTTGGTGGATCCACTGTAGTAACTCCTTGTTCTGACTTGATTGAATCGATAAGCTTGCACAGTGCTGGGTGACTCGCGTCAGCTCTGGTATTCAATCTATTGCGGCAATCTATCATGCAATTATTTTTTCTCGCTTTGTCGTGCAGTAGATTGTTGTAATGATTCCACAATTATAGAGCCCTTTTCACCATATTTCAGTAGAGAAACACTACGGGTTGTAGGTATGGGGATCTGCGGGAGGGTATGAAGCAGGCGAGGCTACGGGGGAGGGCCATGTCAGATTCGGCTTGACCATTGGTTGACGATGGCGGTTTCTAGTTTATCGACCTGGGTTGGTAATGCTTGGTTTTACATTTTCGGGCGGTACATGAGGGAAGGAAGGCGGAAGGGGGGGGGGCAATATCCACCATGTGATATCTGATCTCGAAGATCTGACATATGACGTTTGATATCTAATATCTACTGTGATGCCTAATGTTTAATATCTAATTTCAGATGTCTAATATCTAATCGCTACTCTTTAATATGTGATGTCTAAGGTCTGATATCTAGTTTGTAATATCGAACATTTAATAACTCATGGCTGACAATCATAACTGCAAATAGTCTCAGACGATCTGCTGGCGATGGATTCTTTTATGTTACTTCCATAATGATAATTACAAATTAATTCATGATTCTGCGATTTTTTCTTCAAAACCGTTATGAATAGAGCATACCGAGCAAGAAAAACGAATATTTTTTTTGTTTTTCAACGAAATATGAGGAATCATTTTAAACTTGATAATTCTCTTATTGAAATCGAAGGGCGAACCGTTCCCTACTCACGTGGCTGCGCGTGTTTACCGGTGAGCACGTACGCGTGCTATAAACATTGGCGGCGGACTCTCTGAGTCATGCTGTGGTGGTGCAAAGATTCATGTGACCAAGTGTAAGTTCATCGAGTAATAGTGGTTGTTGAGCCAATGAATATAACTCTGATAAGAACATCGAAAAATTCGTTTCCTAAAATTTTAAGTCGACACTGGCAACTTTTCATTTTTCAAATTGAGTGTTCCAATATTTGAAAATAAAATAATAATTACCGACTACCATTTCAGAAATATATTCTTCAATGTTCTCCTCTGCAAATTTGATTTTTCAATTGTATATTTAAAATTAAAAAGTGAATTTCAGCGCCAATTCTAACGACTCGGCCATTTTTAGTGATCTCGCATGCCACTCTAAGTGGCTGACGGAAATATCGTCACCACTGGGACTTACTCGCACACAGCGGCTGGCTAATTGGGTGCCCAGGAAGATAAGAGGATTATCCCAACCTTTGTAATAAACTGGCTCCCGACTACCTGAAGGTTGCCGGGCCCGGCCATAGAGTTAAGCGAATTTCATCCACTAATAATTGATCTTTCAAAAAATTTTTAATATTAGCAGTTTCATCACTTCCTGCTGGTAAAGTCAATAGTATGACCGATTGACTCGGCTTTCTCTAAACTCCGTGACTGGGGTGCGGAGAGGATGGTTGAGCAACTGACCGAGCGCGTTTCCAGGTGGCGGATAGGTGGTGGCCACAGTCAGAATTGGTTGGTTGGGACGCTAACTCCTATCGCGATGGATTGGGGAG